GCTACAGAGACTTTAAATTAAGATTGAGAATCTATGACTACAGAAAGGTTCTAAGATGAAGCTGATAATCGTAGAGCTACAGAGACTTTAAATTAAGACTGAGAATCTATGACTACAGAAGGGTTTTAAGATAAAGCTGATAATCGTCGAGCTACAGAGACTTTAAATTAAAGCTGGGAATCGTTAAGCTACAGAAAGGTTTTAAGATAAAGCTGAGAATCGTCGAGCTACAGAGACTTTAAATTAAGACTGAGAATCTATGACTACAAAAAGGTTTTAAGATAAAGCTGAGAATCGTCGAGCTACAGAGACTTTAAATTAAGACTGAGAATCTATGACTACAGAAAGGTTCTAAGATGAAGCTGATAATCGTCGAGTTAGATAAGAAGTTAAATAAACAAAGCTAAAAATGTTTTTGAGCTAACTCTGACAAATGACGAACTACAGAGGGATTTTAAAAGAAAATCTGGGAATTCACGAGCTACGGGAAGATTTTATCCAATCTTCGCATGATACTGCTGATAGTATCTATATGGAACGAGTATATTATCGATATCTACAGTAAAAGTATATAAGAAACGTAAATGTAAAATAAGACAAAACATGATTTTGTTTAAACATATTATAAATATTACGCTATACAGATAAACAGAAAGACTAAAATGGTGGTCATCCAACAACATAAATACTTAAATAGATGTAGTAACATAAAATAGTTTCTTAAGATTGGAAATTTCTCAAACGAGTTTTCTTCAGAGTATAATTATTTTGTTTTCCTGGAATTTTAACACTTTCAAAAGTTCTGTATAACATCTTTTTTTCTAAATTCTTTTTCACTTACACGAGTTTTTTAATCGAGTAATTTTTTGTAGTATTCGTAACATAATGAAACCATTCATGAAGTGTTCTTCTTTACCAAAGACACTTGAAGATGTTTTCCTGATGAGAAGAAGTTAACCAAGAGATCTTTATCGACTCGACATTGAAAGTGGAGTTAATTTCTCCAATTTATCAAGTTTAACTAAAATTCATTAGATTAAGTAAAAGTTAATGACTGCTTCTTTAAATAATCATTTTTTATGTCGTTATCTGCTGCCGAATTTGATAAGATAGAGAAGATGCATAAATGTTTCTATTGTTGACCTATTCTTCATTCATCTTCTGAAAAACTAATGTTTGTTACATATTATCAAGTGATAACAATGACAGATGCTACCTCTAAAATTCAGCTATGCCTAAAGAATCAAGTACTTCCTATAAAACTTATGAATCATATTTGAGCCATATTCCATAAAATTTCTTGAAATTCATTTGTTCTGTTATAAAACCTTTTAAATTAATAATTTCCGATTTAATGTATAATGAATGTTTAAATATTCACTATATTTTTTCTGTTTACTTGAGGATGGTCTCCCCGTTACAAGTAACAAATGTTTTTCATAATTATGTATTTTGTAATGATTAGACCTCTTAAATAAAAACAAGTTTAAAACTAGTGATTTAATTTATTGTTTTCTTTACTTACCATTTACTATTTATTACTTATATATTTTTACTGAACCTTTTAAATTCCTTTAAATTTTTAGTAGCGCCTTTTTCCGTAATAGCATAATTCTTTGAATTTGGTTGGGTAGCTCCTGTGAATAATGGTTATTTTGAAACTTTCCATGTTTACATCAACTATGCCCAAACTCTGTTTTTTCTCAGTTTTCAAAATGAGTTTGTCGAAATACTAACGATTAACAGATACTTGCGATTAATAACTTTTGGTTTATTTTACTAACTAAGGAAAGGATATTCTGTTTTTAAAATGGCATATTAATTTGTTTAGTGTTTGTCGAACTTCATAACATAAAAATTCAGTGTTAGCAGAAATTTCAAGCATCCAAACCCACAAAATATCGTTGTTTTTTATTAATAAATTGTTGTAAATGTACTCAAACCGAAATTAAAATAACTAATTAACTATTCTGTTTAATTAGATTACCTGTTGTACATAAGAATGTCTGGTTTCCATAGAAACTTTGGATTCATTCGGATGTCTTTAATTCCGCCGTACTGGGAAGAATTCCAACTTAGATTTGAATCGATCCACTCCTATAGGAAACACATGCTTTATTGTAAGTCGGGCTCTTACGAAAATCTTCCTTATTTATTACTCTACTATACATCCTGAACCTTTTACACAAACAATGAATGAGAGATTGGGAAGATTTCAAATACTTTCTTGTCCGCTCCGTGTCAAGGAAAACCTACACGTGTATCTCGAATAGAAAAAAAACACACACACACACACAAATGTATATACTGATACGGTCTAATGGAATATTCTGGAACACTCGTTAATTGTTTTTTTTTGAATATCCTAATACAGTGATTTCCCTATTGGTGTCCGTGAGACTGTCTTATATGTATCTCAGCACAGGTAGAGATATTCTTTTTAAAACTTTCCTCACACCAGGCGAAGGAATATTTTCAACAATAATGTAATTCATTACAATAAATATGACCATAAAAGATTTCTTAGGCTTGAACTTTTTTATTTCATATATCAGATTGCAATAACATTAAAAGACCTCAAAGTGGCCTTGGGGTGGAGATTGAAGGATTCAAAGTTAAAAGTTTGAGAACTCTGTTCTAAGGTTCATGAACACATTCTAGTTTATTTTTTAGACTTAAGTGTGATAGCTTACTTCTTTACAATTGTTCTTATTAGTATCAGTAATGTTACAAAATCAGCAGGTGTAATGACATTGTATTCACAAACGTCTGTCACCAAGAGCAGCATCACTGTTCAAACATACTGTCAAATTAGGCCTACGTGAGACTAGCCTTAAGACTGAAATAGCAGGGAAAACTTTGTTGAGGTGAACATAACATTTTCCAACCAACAATCATAGGTCTAAGTTAGATAATTCAAAGTTCTGACAGAATTAGTCCAATTTTTATTAACAATTTCACCTTGAAAAATATGTCGGAAGATGTTTAACTTTTTCTCGTTAACACCAAGTAAGCTTCTTTCTAACGTAAATGTTACATGAAGAAATGTTCTAAATAAAAGATTTTACGGATACTCGTGCAAAGCTGTAGGGTTATTGTCTACGTTAGTATTCCCTAATATTGAACTGTTACATTAAAAAAATTGGTTGTTATCCTTGCAATAAAGCACGTTGTCAGATCAGTTCACGAAAGCTACAAAGATCTTTCTCGACAAATTGGTTGTTATCTTTTCAATAAAGCACGTTGTCAGAGCAGTTCACGAAAGCTACATTTCTTCTTCAAACAGAATCAAAACTCTTTAAGATCACTAAAGAGGTTAGTTGTACGACATTATTTATAGTTTACAAAATGAAAATGCAGCCATTAATATTTTGGACTAACCCAGATGACTCATAAAGAGAGCGTTTCAACAATCATACGACTTTAAGCATTATTTAAAAAATATATTATTGTTGCTCAGCAATTTAACAAGCTAATAATATTGTTGTCTTGGAAATTAAAAGTAAGTTTAGAACAAAAGCTTGCAGACAGAAAACTACAAGAAGCCTATTGGATTACCGCTATGGATAATCTTCATCCCTCTAAGATTAACCTTGATTCACTCATATAAAAACATAGTTTTCACATTAGAGATGTCTATTTTAATTTTATTAGTTAAATTTTATTACGTCTTATTATTTTTTATGATTAACATTTGTTCTTTCCTTTTTATTATTAAATTCTAATGAACAATATATTTCTAATCATTATTTGTATTAAAATTAAGTGCCATCTGGTAACAGAATTTGTCACATGAACTGGCCAAATGTAATTATAAATTTTGTTACTAATTTCTCTATTAGTACTACTAGGTACTAATTACACATTTGTTTGTTTGTGCTTAAGTGCAAAGCTACTAAGGTTATCTGCATTGTGTGCATGGCGGATATCGAACTCTAATTATTAGTATTATAAGCCTTCAAGCTTACCGTTGATCCATCGGAGGGTTACTAGTTACTAACTAGTTTATAGCCTACGTTTCACTTGCTATCTTTCTGTCGTCTTCAGGGAAGTATTGTAAAGGACTGTTTCTATGGTGGTAGTGACGTGGTGGTTACCAAGACTCATAACTCATGTAACACAGGACTTTATAGGAAACTCACAGATGCTGATAAATACGTGTACCTCAACTATATATCAAACCACACTAACAGTGTAAAAACAAGTGTCTTACACTGCGCAGTTTCCAGATCTAACAATATTTGTAATAAAGAAAGTGCTAAGAAGGAGAGGAAAACACATCATTACAACTCTTCTTGATAATGGATGTCGTAAAGAAGAAAGTAAGTAATAAAAACACGAAAAATTAACAGCACTGGGGACATACAGCTGTATTCCGCTATGTCAGCTTTACTTCTAAAAACATAAGGTTGGAACAAAATTCAGATACCACAACACTATGCAATCGCAGTTGGTAAACACCAAACTATCTAAAGACCGAATTTAGAACAAAAAGAACTTTTACAACATACTTTGTGAATGTAACTCCAATACACTAGAGAGAGAAAAAAAAAGATCAACAAATGTCAGAATTCAGGAGAATAATAGCCACACAAGACTCTGTAACATAGTTCTATCTGAAACATCCATCATAACAAAGAAGAAGACTATACAATAAAATGGAATAATACGAAAATAATGGGAAATGAACCATACACCAGAAAAATAACAATAAAAGAAGCCTCCTGTATCCATCTAACTGTTAACACACTCAATAAACCTAGCATAGAAGTCAGAAACACCTGGATGCACCTCTTAAAAGCATTCAAATGGTTAGTTAATTCAAGTCCTAATGGCGGAAAATCTGGACGAGTGAATAGCACATCAGCCCTTCTACTAGAGACCTCTTATTGAATCTGCCCCCCAGTGGCACAG